GGGAGTAGGTTCAATTGCTCGCGAGTGCAGCATGAACCAATTACGAATTTAATTAATTTCATTTAAAGGAAGTAATTTAAAATGTAATCATAGAATTGACGTTGTTTCAGTTAAGGATCATTTCGTTCCAGTCGGACGTACACACTCCACCAATCTTGTATTAGTTTTTTTTTGAATTATAGCAAAAGTAATCTCTTTCCATAGATGGACAGTGTGCAGCCTGATTCGGTACTGTGGAGGTCTCACGGTGGCTCGAAGCCGCTTAATCGTCCTCTTTGCGATTATGACGGGTGAGTTCCTTTAACCTTATTTTCTATTTCCCGTCGCCTTTTCCTTCATTCGCTTTCTATTCCTTTTGTTTTTGTCCTCTACGTACGTCCTCGTGTGATAATTACAAGAATCAATGTGCAAAAATTTCCAGGAGAGGCTGCCCGTTGTCTTTTGTGGACCAGTACTTAGCGATCACGCTAGCGTCCGTGGCAGCAGGAGTTCTGCTAATTGCCATTGTAGCCGCTGCGATATTCTATGTGATTAGGTGAGTTGCGCTAGAGAAAAAGACGCTCTGAATGTAATTCTCATGAAGGCTCTTCAGAGCCTCACTGGGTGATATCTGGGTAATTCACTGTTTGCGCTAGATATAGGGGTATAACTTGAAACTTGAACTTAGGTGGCTTTTTTGGGAAACTTTTTGAGATTTAGCCCGGACTCTGCCTCGCACAATGGTCTGCTAGCTTGTAGAGGGTTTGAGCATGGGTGTGTTTTAAGCTGTAGGAGCCAAGCTTATGGGCATTAGTCAAATGTTGATTCAATATGCTTTATTCCCTTTCATAGAGAGCGTCGCCTTATCCTGCACACTTTCTTCAAAATTCTCCCATATCCCACTAAAATTTCTTTCAAAAATATAATACAATGCCAATCCCGTGAAATGGGACCCCCTCACTGGATTGCACCACCCTCTTAAAGGAATCTTCCGCGGAAAAAGCTCCGCCTCCATTACCACAGAAAAACGATACCCCTTAGGCCCCTAGCCTCATGAGCATAGCAAAAAGAACGGAACATAAGCGTTAGTTTCGATAATACTACACACAAGACAAAATGATCACTCTTTCCGTGGAAGATTCCTTTAAGGTATCGTTTTCTGTGGTAATGAGGGCGGAGCTTTTTCCGTGGAAGATTCCTTTAACAAACTTTTTTGAATTTCCCTAGAAAACGAATTGGGCGCTGCGTGCTTGAAAGGTGCGGTTGTTTCCTTCCAGCCCTTATGCGGACTACTAACGCCCTCCGCCAGCTACTTGTATCAGCACCGCAAAATGAGTTATTATGTGTTTCACAAGAATGCTGGGTTGTGAACAAAACTTTCGCCCCAGGCGGGACTAGAACCCGCACCTCTCGCTTTCCGGGCAAGTGCGCTACCAGTTACGCTACCGGGGCACCATTTCATCCCAACTCAGCTTTTCATGGTATACGTACAAGCTTTCAGCACTCACACGTATAACGTGTTGAGCCGGTTAGGGCCGTTCTTCTAGTCTGCCTGGGGCGAAAGTTTTGTTCACAACCCATCATTCTTGTGAAACATTCGCAAGGCGAACTGCGGCCAAAAACAGCAGCTAACAATTAAAAACTGAGCTCACAATTTTGTGAAATGGTGATTCGTTTGCTGAGAACGAGTCTGTCACGATGCAGCTCTCATTTTAGAGTACAGCATAGCCTGTTCCTATACTCAGTTGTTTTTATTAACAGAGCACGGCGTCTTGAAGAAGAACGGCTGAATAAGCTCTGGCAGATACCATTCCTCACATTGACAGGCAAGTTCTAGGGAGATTTTACTAATACCGCTGTCACACTCGCACAGGACACAGAAGGAATGATCGGGAATCGCCGAGACAGGCGATGGCAACGCGATTGCGCAATCGCTTGCAAAGTGCACAAGCGATGGGCGATGGCTCTGCTCGATCGATACCGCAGCCGACTGCATCGACTGGGGGCGGGGCCAGTCGCCCGTCCGCTTGTGCACTTGCAAAGGATTATAATCGCCTGCCTTCTCGGCAGAGCGATTGCAACGCGATGGGCAAGCGTCGCTCCATCGCTCGGCGATCTAACTACTAGTACTAGTCATTCATGCCGTACGTATAAAGGAGGGGGTGCAAAAAAAGAGTCACATCCCTTCACATTCAAATCGTAATTATTTATGAGTTGCCAAACCAAACCAAATAGGCCCAACTGATTATTCAAGGCACATTCTAATTTATTCACAACATTTTACATAAACAACCTTCGACACCGAGGTCATCAGAATATACCTTTACGACGTCCCTGAAACGCTGGTCACCAGCGATCTCGTACAGTCACAGCTAGCGTCTCTGAGAAGCTATTCACCAGTTATTCCATTGTAGAATTTATGTAGTAGTGCTTCAGGCCGGGAGCGATTTAGGGCTCGACGGTGACGACAGATGACGTCATATTCTGAAGACGGTGGGGGCAGTGAGGGAGGGCCTGCTTCTGCTTATGGGGGACACCTAGGGAATATTCTGCCATAAAACATCCACTCATTGAAACTTTGACGATGTGCGCTATGAGCGAAGTGACTCTTTTTTGTCCCCCTTCCTGTATGTGACATATGAAATTGCTCTGAAAGTACTTGGTGTTCATGAAAACTTTTTCAGAGTGGAGCTGCCAGCAGTCGGTCATTGCAAAGCACACTTTCGACAAGCACAAAACTGACTATTGACTCGAAAAAGGTTCTTCGAATTTCATTAACCATTTTTGCAGTAGATGAATGCGGGTGAACATTGTGACCCTTTGACGACAATGCGGATTTGCACGTAGCGTGCTCGTGGGACCACGCCTCTTTTTGGCGCGCCCAACTCTCGCTCAAAATGGGCAAAATTGTCCCTAAAAGCAGTTTTTCTATCAAATTTTTGATCTTTGAATTTAGAAAATTTGACTGCAGGTTCAAGCTTTCATATCATACAATGATGAAAAGAGAACTGAAATTTTAGAAGGGGAAAAAGATTATTTGTACAATGGAACCTTTGATACACCCTTTCCTTGTATTTGAAGACTATGAAGAGACGGAGAAGGTTGACCTCTAACAACCAGAATGCTACAAATGTTCTGAATGCGCGGAGAAGGAAAGTTAAGGTGCATTCACCGGTGGGTGTCATTGTCGCCAAAGAGTTAACGAGCGTAAATATCATACACTTGACATGCATACGGGATTGCTGAGTACCCCTATAAGTATCGAATTGAAGCAAAGACTTAGTTGAACAATTCCAAGTAGGGAACGAGTCGTATTTGAGATCTTTAGAGCAGGAGCTTGTATTTGGCTGCATAAGAGCTGTTTTCCCTGAAGGAGGCAAAGAAACTTTTCGAAATGTGGATTTTGAACAAGATCTAAAATGATTCCGAGAACATGTTGCCATTGTGGCCGTTTTGTATCCGGTCGATGAACTTCTGGAGATAGGTAGTTGGAAAGGTTGGAAGCAATTCTAACCAGCTATTCAGACGAACACTTGGTACCATGGGCAGGACCCGAACGTTGCACGAGATGGGAGATGGATACTTAGAAGGTCTGATACAGACAGGGGATCGTGTCAGCCTCATATTTTTCCAGCGCAATGACTGACCTTTCGCCTTACCCAACCCATTGTCGGAGCGGGCATGCTGTTCCTGTGCAACATCAGTCATCCAAATGGGGATTCTGATGGATTGCATCCTACGTAAGTAGTAATAGCACCATTTGAAATGTGTGGTATGCCGTTAACTATAGGTTAAATCCTTCAGGATTCTGGACATCACTCTTATTTCACCATCGGAAACGATCCAGTCGTTGCCAGGAAACATCAGTTCTAAGGGTTCAGATGAAGAAAGCGGACTGCGCTATCCTCAGAAAGGTAGCGATCATCTTTCATAAAAATCTTCACTCTGAAGCGGTTTTCAAACGTTACTATGGAGAAATGGCAAGGCGATAGAATAGTAAAGCAGTTTACCTATGATTCGAAACAGGGGACCTTCTGATCGCTTTATACAGGGTGGGCAAAAATTACGGTAACAAGATAAAGTGTTCATGGAAAAGCAATGCGGCCAGGAAGACACACGTGGACACCAACAATGTATTCATAGGAAGTTACCAAACAGAATACAACATCACTTCTTGGACTGGCCGCTGTCTTGCGTTTATACCTGAGTGAAGTCATCTCGGGAACGCATCGTGCCTGTTGTGTAGGTAGGTGACATCGAGCTTACCCTAGGATCTTCTTTAATTCGTCGATGCTTTAGTGATACTTGTAGTAGCCCATCGTCTTCAGTAGACTCCACGGAAAATAACCCACTTGCTTTAACACGGGAAAATAAGGTGGCCCCTCGTTTCAATGTCATAATTCGGAAAATTTCAATTCCACAAATTTAGAGTTCAAAACCAATGTTGTACATGTTTGTTCTATGTTTGCTTTGTGTTACAAGCCGGTATTATGTTGAGAATTGTGTCCTTCCAGTCGATTGCATTTATTAGGTTCGAAGGAGATCAAGGTGTTTTGTTTGGCGCTCTCGTTACCGTAATTTTTGCCCACCATTTACAAAATCGCATAGGCACTTGACGACTGTTAGCTTCTCAATGTCCACAATCGAATTTTTCATCTCAAGGAGCATATAACAAGCTTAATGATGGTGATATCCGCAACGCCTTTGCACCACTTCTACTTCTTTGCTGGCAGCTGTATGCATACATGATCATGAAATCAATGCTCGTAATATCTGGCAGCAAGTAGTAGGAAAATTAGCGCTCTGCAGTCCAAATTTGCACAAATGCTCCCATGGTACGATACCTGAGCCAACTAGGTTAAATAGTTGCACCCTCAAAACCAAGGGTGAGTGGGGATTGTTCTAGCCTAAGGCTTTTAGTAAAGGCCAGTAAATTCAAAGTAACGAAAAGATGGACTATTAACCGCAAGTCCAAACAAAATCAAAATCCGGGCATTTTACCGAATAGAATTGGCTTTTAGATGCGAGGCGACGACCGTGATACTCTATGCCGATTTGTTGGATTGTGCTTGGATGCTCCAGAGATGATGTCTGTGTGGAAATATTGTTCTAGAGGATCGCTCAAGGTCTGTCGGATATCTTACATCCTTATAGAGAATCTATTGCGCCAATCTTTTTTAGGATGTCATCGAAAAAGGCTCGCTCCAAATGGACTGGTTCTTCAAATTTTCTCTCATCAAGGACATCATAGAGGTATGATCTGTGGAAGTGGAGAACACACACCCTACACTTATGGCAGTATTTGTTTTCGAATTTTGCAGCTAGTGCAGTGGCGAGTGGCGCTGCTTGTTGCGCGCACGGCCCAGGACTCGGGTTCTAGTTTGTACGCAGTCCAGGCCAACCAAGAGTTCATCCCTCCGAGTTCGGGTAATTGATGCCACATTCTTAGAACCCCATACTAAAAACAATATAAGTGTTAATCTCGAGCGTCTCGCTAGGCGAAGCTGAAACTTCTCTGGGCAGTTTGGGGGTCTACCTGTTTTGCTGCGGCTCGTGGCGCACACCGCGCCTCGCTCTTTACAAATTTACACGTAAATTGCACTGGTGCTCTGAGCAACTCATTTGAAGAAAAATCAGCAGCAATATTCCCAAATGGTGCATGGGACTTTCCACATATTTCGGTTGTTTCAGGGCGTTCTTTATTTGCATCCAGACATACGGCCCTCATGGTTGGCTCAGCTCTGGCACTTGTTTGGTGGATGAAAGGTGGCAGGTAAGTTGAAACTTAAATTGGAAAAAAATTGAAAAAAATGAATTTTCCAAGTAGTTTGCCATGATTTCTAGGAAGAGACGATGCTTGAACAGTATCATGCATTCATCCCAGTTCGGGATTTCACCGTTTGAAGATTGAAAGGTTT